AGCTGAAGGGCTGTCGGTCTCCGCGAGGATGCGTGGCTGGTCAGCAGCTTCACATATCTGGCCTGTATTGGCCACTTCCCACAAAAAGTGAGCGGGAGGCTGCCCCGTCTTAAGCCCATCAGAACTTCTGTCCTCTCCATTTCTGTCCCAAACGGCTGGAAGAGTTCAAACAGGATGACGCCCAAACTGTACATATCCGACTAGAGAGAGAAGAAATATTCCGTGTCAGAACACTTTTTTTTTTCATATTTTAATACATCTTTTTGTCATTCCTATCAGAATTAATAAAGGGATGTGCATTGTACAGGAACAGCTATGGAGTGATTCTTGCTAGGGAGGAAAATTTTTTAGCAAAGGCAGAAACTTTTCCAGGGTTGACATTCTGGGCCAGCCTGGCAATTTCAAAGCTGTACGGTGTTGCTTTCTAGGCGAGAAGCCCAAATAACTGGGATCAGACTTGTTCCCAGGGTGCCCTCTACCTCCCTCTAAGCTTGCTTGGGTGTGTATTTATTTCTTCTGGACAGGCCACTCGACTTCTAAGGCACTATAATATCATTGCTGTCATTTTGTAAGGCGCTGCAGAGAGCTCTTCGCTTTTTAAAGAGCGGCGGCGCTTGATATTTTCAAAGTTTATGGCTAAATGGTTTGGGAAGGAATAACGGTCGCTGCTTGCGATTATTCCGTTGTTTCTCATGGCTGCTTTGTTGGGAGCATCTGTAGTTCAATAATTTTTCACATTGAGGGTTTTATGCCCCTTTAATCGGTAGTTAGAATGCAGTATGGCAGGCTGACTGCCCACTGCCAGGAGTTCAATCCTGACTGTCTCACGGTTGACTCAGCCTTCCATCTTTCCGAGATTGGGGTAAAATGAGGACCCAGATTGTTTGAGTGCTGAAAAGCACTATGGAGCAGTATATTAAGTGTTACTGCTATTCTTAATATGTCTTTTGACATCTGAAAGATGGAATTTGACCGCCGAGGTCCTGTTTGTCTTTAAAAAAAGCCCCAGTTAGATTGGAAGTTGGGGTGGCTGTACCTTGAAATCATAATGAGATCCTTGGAGTTGTTCAGGTGAAGCATACAGACAAGTGCCCACTCCGGAGGTATGGATGAGCGCTAACCCAAAATAGAGGGAGAATGTTAGCATTTTTTTTAAAAAAAAATCAGGCATTGCAAATCAACAACCAAAGCACTATTAAGAGTGGAATAATTACCATAATTATTCTCTGCGCTTAGCAGTTGGATTGTATCTTCCTCTATAATGTCTCTACAGGCTAACCCAAAGTCCCCTATTTTCACATGATGGTTCGGTCCTTGGAGAAAGATATTCCGGGGCTGTGAAAACAAAACCAGCGCACTGATGATGTTACCTAGCTGGGTAATGAAACGTCTGCAAGAAAGCAATGAAGCTCAGAAAGCACCAGAGACTCCTTGGGTTCTGTTCCTCCTCCTCCTCTCAACCCCCCCTTCCCTCCTAGCCCTGATGCCATTACATGGTCAGGTAGTGAAACGTCTGCAAAAGAAAACAAGCTCAGAATGCACCAAGGACCCCTCATTTCAACCCCAAGCTACAAATATCCTCCTTAACACTCGGTGTGAAAGATTTAAATCAACCAAAAGTGTCGAAATACAGCCGATGAGATTCTGGTTGTGAGCAGTGAGTAGTGAGGTCGGCTTTGAGAGCCCTTTCTACTCTAGACGTCTTCTCTGGTGGCGACAGGTGCCAAACACCCATAGGGGTGAGGTTTAAGTCGACTACCTTATTGCTCTCTGCCTATTACACAGGAATCTCCCCAGTTTCACATGAGATAACTACTAGATAAGGCTTTCAGGGAATTCAGACCTAGCTCTTTGGTGTTTACGTAGGGAATCCAGGCTAATTCCTCACTTGACCCCCCCTGCTCCGAAGGTTGCTCTCCAACAAGGGGAGAGGTAAGCCTGCGCTGAACATGACACCTTTTTAGAGACCATGCATCTTCTCTGTTGGCCTGAAGCCTTTAGATCTGTGAGATCATCTAACCGGTTCCAGAACCAAGCGTCATCGTCACAAAGGAACAATGGCTCAGACGTGAGGCTCCCAAATGCGTTTTCTCCATGCTCAAAGCTACCCATTTTTTCTCTCCCTCCCCTCAACATGGGTAATTTGATAGGACGTCCCCACAGATGGGAAAGCGAATCGACGGACAAAATATTAATTGACGCGATTATGACCAACAACACCTCCATGCTTCAAGATTTACTGCCCTCCCATTCAGTTTACCAAACGGTCATCTGCCAGGTAAACTATCTACCTTGCTCAATCTAAAAGACTTAACATAAGAATTAAAAACATAATGCAGGTAGTCCTCGGTTTACGACGACAATGGAGCCCCAAATTTCTGTTGCTAAGCAAAACATGGGTTTAAGTGCGTTTTCTCCCATTTTTTTTAACCTTTTTTTACCTCCCCCCCGCCCTCCGAGAACACTGCAACCCTCATAAATAGGAGTCAGTTGCCAAGTGTCCGAATTTTGATCACGTGACCAGGGTGCAACGGTTGTAAAATGGTCCAATGAACCGTTGTAAGTCAGGGACTACCTGTACGTAGAATTTTATGTAGCATGTCCAAAGCCAGTACTTCTGAAAAGAGGTTTAATTCAGAATCACAGATTTCATTCCAAAGGGTCTTTAAATGTGATTTTTTTTATCTGAACATTTTGACAAGCAGTAGAATGATTTGTACAATCTGATGCACATCTAATTAAAAGTAATTTCCATTGATCAACTCTTGGAAAGTTAAATGGGACTTAAATCTAATTCACAACTTTATGTGATAAGGCTGTTATCTTATACACTTGCCCAGAGTCACTGAGAGAGAGAGACGGTGAGACAGGCGGCTCTATAAATTTGACTATGGTGATAAAATAAAACCTTACAAATACATTTGGATTAAGCCCTCGCTGAAAAAGTGAAGTGTTCTTTGGTCAATCCTTCTGATAGTTATTATAATGTAGATGATAGAATATTTTAGCGGGCTTCCCATAGTTTCAAAACAACCAGCAAAAGGTGTTACAATTGAAATTTTTCTGCAATCACTTTCTGGACACCTAAAAAGTTAGCCAATGCTCAGATCAGATCAGATTCAAAGAATAAGCTACTTCTTTAAGACAGTAGAGCATGACAGCATAAATAGCCTTCAGATGGTCTTGATTAAACCACGTCAAATCTGATAGACTAGCTCATTACCCGTGCTTTGCTACGAAACTGTGGTCGGGCTTCGTTTTGGGGGAGGAAGTAAGGGGGAAAAAATGCTGCCTCTGCCTACCAGCATCCATTAGTATTCATCTGGCTAGCGTCCTGTCAGTGTGTGAGAGAGTTGAGGGCTGTTTGGAAACTGAAACAGTACGTGCTGTATGAGCAAGCAGACGGCAAGGAGCCTGGGCGTGGCTTAGCTCAACTGTTCTGTACTAAAGCTGCTTGGTGCTCTGAAACAAACTCCTCTGCTTGTGTTTTGCATTTGGAACAGATTTCTTTTCAGGTGGAGAGGAGGAAATAAAACTCCTTAGCATCAGAGCGTGTTAATAATAATATAGGAAATATTCTAAACGCTCTGATGGTCATTTCGAAAAATCCTTTCTTAGTGAGCCCCTAGAAGCCAAGAGGAACATAAAATTCAATTTTATCAGCTTTACAGTTCTGGAGATTTTGTGATGATGCGTGAGGGGTATTTCACTTATATACATAGATTGCTCTGCTAGCTTATATGTTGCCAATTACGACATTTATCTTTTTCTCCCCAACCGTCAAAGAAAAAAGGGAGGTTTGTGCAAGACAATACGCAAAGTGGAGATCCTGAAAGGAGGTAATATTTTACCAAATATTATAATAAGGGATTTGGGAAATGCTTAACAGCAAGAACTGTACGATGCAAAGAATTAGGATCACCCTTTAAATTCCAGCCAATCTGATTTATGGCTCATGTATATTCAGGCAGTCCTCCATTTAAACCACCACAATGGAGCCCAAAATTTCTGTCGCTAAGTGAAACATGTATGAAGTCAATTTTGCCCCATTTTTACGACCACTCTTGCTGCAGTTGTGCAGTGAATCGCTGCAAGTGGCTAAGTTGGTCACACGGCTTCCTCACTGACTTTGCTTGTCAGAAGGTCGCAAAAGGGGACCCCCAGGACACTGCAACCGTCATAAATATGAATCAATTGCCAAGCATTCCAATTCTGATCACCATGGGGATGCTGTAATGGTCGTATTTTTCAGCGTCGTCATTGTGAATGGTGATTTAATAGGCCGTTGTAAGTTGAGGACTACCTGTACACAAGAATCTAGTTGACTAACGGTCAGCACTAGGTTGGTGCTAGAAAGAGTCAATAGAATTCAAGAGGGATTGGGCTTAGACCGTTTGTGGGAATGTCATGATTCTAGGCTGATTCCTCTCTTGATTCCTCCACCCCTGGACTCTCTACTTGTCCTTTTCCTGCAAATACCCATTAACACTGCCAAATCAAGCTGTTTAGCAGTGAAGGACCAAAGAATGAAGTTGTCAACTCATAAAACATTCCTGTGCCTGTTTTAAAAGTTGCCATAAAAAAAGGAGGGGGGGGGAGGAAGGAAATCTGGAAGAGCAGTGCAGCAGTTTTAAATCAAAAGTATATTCCAATTCTTATCTTTAAAAGATTGTAACTAAAATACCAGAGCTTTTGCCCGCAAATATATTTAATTGGAAAATGTGATTGATGACACCCAGCCCACAAATGTGCTCAGTTGGGGGAGGAGGGAAACAGGATCACAAGGGACTGTAAATGACGTATGCCAGAGTTGGCTTCGTACAGGGCAGGGCCAGTATGTCGCCTCAATTAAATCCTTTGAAGTTTTTTGAAGCTGGACTCGAGAATCGTGATTTAATTAGGGCGATTGTTGGAATCCTGACAGAAGTCATCTTTGTTGGGTTGCCTGGAGTTGATGTCATCCTGGATATCTAGACAACATTGTGTAGTTTACTCCCACTGTATTAGATATTCTATTAGAGAGGAAAAGAACTTGCAAGTCTTTATTTTTATCCCTGCCCGTTTAGCCCCCCAAAAGCAGAATGTTCCACGGAGAACCGCCACAGAGCAGAAGAAAGGAATGATGGCAAACATCTCCCCGTCAAATCCAAGAAGGGCGTCAAGGCCACGCATGCTGACATGTTTGGCCACCACGATCACCACCCCCTCCACCTGGCAGCAACCATTGGGTGTCACCACCTAATCCCCGACCTGCTGAAGCGGGGTGCCCGAATCGACGATAGGACGAAATCCGGACAAACAGCTCTTCACCTGGCCTCCAGAACCCTCAACCAAGCAGCCATTCAGACGTTGCTCCGCTGTGGAGCCCAGGTGAACTCCACCACTCCAACAACCCAAGAGACCCCGCTCCATCTGGCCGTCCACACCTCATCCAGCAAGGCCGGCATCGTCCTAGGAGCCGACGAGACGTGCGTGGAGCTGCTGCTGCTGAATGGTGCCGATGTAGGCCTGAAAGACTGGAAAGGCCAGGCAGCGCTCCACCACGCTTGCCGAAACGGCCGGGAGGACATCATTAACCTCCTTCTGAGTTATGGAGCAGATGCCAATGACTTAACATTGCAAGCGGAGTCCTGCCTTTTCCTCTTCCTGGAAAAAGCAAGCAACCTCAAGAAGGCCAACGTTCTCTTGAAGCTGCTGAGCCTATCCTACCCGGTGAAGCTCACTAACGCTGAGGGTCGTCTACCCCAACTGTTGGATGACCCCCACTGGGAGCCGCTGAAGGACATACTCCTCCAGGTGTCTTCCCAAGTGTGGTCCTTACAGGACATCTGCAAATTCAACATCCGGAAGGTCTACGGGGGAGACTCGAGGTACTGGCTCAAGGAGGCGATGCCCGTCGAGCTGTGGGACTCGATCTACACGAGCCAACAGTTCTCGTACGCCTTGAAAATCGTCGAAAGGATTTTTGACGGCGGGCACCGCCAACCCGAAGTAAGCGAAAGGCCCTGGGATGCCAGTCCCCTCCTCCTTTTTCTCCTTAGCATGATCCCTGCGCTGTGGCAGGACCCACTTTTCCTGGGATGCTAAGCCGTGTGTGTGTGTGAAAAATCAAATAAAACCAAAAGTGTTTTCAAAGCTTTGTGTTCTGAGCCAATCCTCGCAGATGTTGCTTTTGGTGGGGTGCACTCCGTCCATTGGAATATTTAGAGAAGAAAAATGGAGAGGGATTTCTGCCTTTGGAGAGGTGCAACAGACGACTGGAAGGTTGACTCAGCCTTCCGTCCTTCCAAGGTGGGTAACATGAGGACACAGATTGTTGGAGGCTAGAGGCTGACTCTGTAAACTGCTTAGAGAGGGCTGGGAAGATCTGTGAAGCGGTATATAAGTCTTAAGTGCTATTGCTCTTCTTTTCTTTTCTTTCCCTTCCCTTCCCTCCCTCCCTTTTCTTCTTCCTTCCTTCCTTCCTTCCATCCATCCATCCATGATGTGCAGTGGTTAGAAATGCAGTATCGCAGGATGACTCTGCCTACTGCCAGGAGTTCGATCCTGATTGGCTCAAGGCTGACTCAGCCTTCCATCCTTCCGAGGTGGGTCAAATGAGGACCCAGATTGTTGGGGGCAAAGAGGCTGACTGTAAACTGCTTAGAGAGGGCTGGGAAGCTCTGTGAAGTGGTATATAAGTCTAAGTGCTATTGCTAAGTGATATTTAGTAGAGCCTTTTTAAAAACCCTGCTGGAAACAACACGATTCATAGCTGAATGGGACAGAAATTTTGGGGGGTGGGAAGGAGGTGGCCTGCACAGTAAATACAGGTTGTCCTCAACTTACGACCACAATTGAGCCCAAAATATCTGTTGCTATGCAAGACATTTGTTAGGTGAATTTCGTCCCGTTTTACGACCTTTTTTTGCCATAGTTGTTAGGTGAATCACTGCAGTTGTTAAGTGGATCAGGCTTCCCCCTTGACTGTGCTTGTCAGAGAGGTCGTAAAAGGGGATCACATGACCCTGGGTCACTGCAACCGTCATAAACACGAGTCAGCTGCCAAGAGTCTGAATTTTGATCGCTCACCTTGGGAATGCAACGGTGGTAAGTGTGAAGAACGGTCATAACTCAACTTTTTTCAGTGCTGTTGTAATTTTGAACGGTCACAAAATAAACTGTTTTAAGTCAAGGGTTGCCTGCAAATGTATATTTAAAAAGGTGTTCATTGGTTTGAAGCAACAGAGATTTGGATAAGTAGAAACTTCTACCGCTTGCTTTTCTCGTATAATTTTCTCACATATCTATGTATAAAAGCGAAATGCCACTCACGCATCATCACAAAATCTCCAGAACCGTAAAGCCTACAAACTTGATATTTGGCACGTCTGTTCTTCTTGGCTTCTAGGTGCTCACTAAGAAAGGATTTTTCAAAATGATCATCAGAGCTTTAGTATCTCGTATATTATTATTATTATTATTATTATTATTATTATTATTATTATTATTATTATTATCATACTCTGATGCTAAGGAGTTCTACTCCGCCTCCCCACCTGGAAAGAAATCTCTTCCAAATGCAAAACACAAGCAGAGGAGAGGAGTTTCAGTTTCAGTTTCCCAGCAGCACCAAGCAGCTTTAGCCCAGAACAGTTGAGCTAAGCCACGCCCAGGCTCCTTGCTGCCTCCTTCTTGCTCACATACCAAATACCATTTCAGTTTCCAAACAGCCCTCAACTCTCACACACTGACAGGATGCTAGCCAGATGAATACCGATGGATGCTGGTAGGCAGAAGCAGATTCCCCTCCCAAAAAGCTAAGCCCCACCACATAGTTTTGTAGCAAAGCATTGATATCAAGCTAGTTATGAATATAATGCCGATATAGAACGGTTTCTTGATTCTGAATATTTAAGTATATCCAAGTTCTTAATGCATTATTTGAGTGCAGGATTTTTACATACATTTCCTCTGGGCCATAAGTAAGCCGCAACTTTATGAAATACCTAGTATAGCTTTGAAGGAGTATTTTACTTACTTTAATGTCCCGGTGCATGACTCCGTTAGTGTGGATATAGTACACTCCTTCTAGCAGCTCCTGGAAAATCTTTAAGGTCCAGTGTTTCTCGATATGATGATAATGATCTTTAAAAACATTTTTAAAAAACAGGACAGTTTTGCACACACAGCCTTTAGAATAGCTTTTTCATGCATCTGTTTAAAATGTGTTTATTTGTTTTGTTTTTTTAAAATGAGAAGCAAGCAAGCACCTTTTCCCAGGATAGTTGGTTAGACTTTGAGACTTACTAGAGGCATCCCTGGCTGTCAGACATACGTCATTCCTGGTGGTAATCCAGTCGCACAAGGAGGTTTCGCACAGTTGCATTTGTATGTGAAGCATCAGGTGATATTCGGTCTAAGAAGAGGAATAAAATTTCAGAAGGGAAGCCAGATTTCGCATTTACAAAGGTGCTTAAAACTATTCCGCAGAAGCACCAGAGCATAATTATCACCCGTTCGAGACGAATTTGTATTTACCGTACAAGACTGGGGTGAAGGTATCTCCATTTCGGAGTCTTCATCACTATAAGAATCATTCGCATTGGCGTGGTCCCCATTTTCATCGCAGCGACGTAAGAGCGAGGCCTGATTTCCGTTGTCCCTCGATTTGTTGCTCGTGTCATTGTCACTGCTGCCGCCGTATGTCCCAGGAGGAAGCGTGCAAGAATTCCCTTTGCTTCCCTTAGCATTTCTGCCGGAAGAATCCTCCCCAGTCTGATTGGCAAAGATGATGGAACTGCCTTCCATTTCTTGAATGCAACTCTGGTCCCTGCATAATAATAATAGTAATAATAAGAACAAGAACAACAACAGTTGTCGATAAGAAAGACAAAAAAATCTGGATACTGGATGTGGCAGTGCCTGGAGATAGCAGAATAGAAAAGAAAGAACTGGAGAAGATAACAAAATACAAAGACCTATAAACAAAAATAGAACGACTGTGGCAAAGTCAAGCAAGGGTAGTATCGATAGTAATAGGCGCCTTGGGTGCAGTCCCAAAAGTGGAGCACCACTTGAACACCATCATTGGCATTGACAAATTTGCCATCAGTCAATTGCAGAAGGCAGCTTTACTTGGAACAGCTTCCATCCTGCGGCGATATCTATAACTCCATCAAACATCCAGATTTGCCTATCCCAGGTCCTTGGTAAGGACTCGATAGGAAGACAAAAATGCCAAACCCAGTCTGAACATCTGTCTGACTCTGTGATGAATTATAATAATAAAAAAATAAAAAATAAAAATGAAACATGTGACAGTGATACCCATTGTCATCAGGGCACTTGGCACCACGTCCAAGAATTTTTCACAGTACATCAAGAAATTGCAGCTTCCTGCAATAACACCAGGACATCATATATTTTAAGAAAATACTTGGGTTGATACTTAGAATGCTGGCAGCAACCCGTATCAACCATCAGTTCCAGTTAATAATATTTGTGATACATTTTTTAATGTTCAGTTGACCGAGTTTCATGTTTAATGAATAAAACTTAATAATATCAAAAATCAAGGCAGGGAAGGCAACTGTACACCCTTCATGGACTAACCCTACCCCCCAAATAATTTTATTTATAAAAAAGAATTTGTTCAAAAAAAAGAGGCAGATTTTTTTTGTGGAATCTTAGAATACGTACTCAGAATTTCCTGGCTCCGAAGATATTTTGAGAGATGGAAGATCTAAGACTAAGCCACCTGTAGTGGAGAAACAGGGCACTTCATCAATTTTGTAACGGTTTTCGAGACAGTGAGAGAGAGGGCTTATAAAGGTAATCAATCAATCAATCAATAAAATTGAGAAGGTGGGATGAAACCCACAAATTATAAACTGCTGCAAACTGTCCAGTCAGGCAGATGAGACCCAGGGGGTGGGGGGGTATAGATATTGGAGGAAGGATGGATGGATGGACGGATGGACAGACAAACAAACAAATGCTCCCCTTTTGGACATGCTGGTTGAACATGTTCCATCCAAGCCGTGTGGTAACCAACAATGTTAGGATGCTGCAACTGAGCCAAGACTTTCACTTCCCGTAGGACCTACAGAAAAAATCAGAGAGGGCTTAATCACATTTGGTATGGCCAGATAAACCGCTCTTTCCCAAGATGCCCGTGGAGTTTCCGGAAATGGAACTAAGAGCGCCTTTCACTTTTGCCCTTACCTACCACCTGTCTTTGTCAGGTGCCAGAAATCAAGGAATCAAGGCCATTTATGTGAAGGCAGTTTTGTTGCGTGCTAACATTCTTCTACAAGAATCTGAACTATTAACGGTCAAAGCAAAATGATAAAGAGTCAACAAAGTTCAAGGTGGGCCGGACTTAGATCTCTTGTGGGCGTGATTCAAAACTGACGATGCGCTGATGACCTCTTCCTCGGGCTCTGCCTGGTCATCTCCTATGTCACCAAAAGATGCCCCAAAGGTGTTTTTTGAAAAGGAAACCAGACTTCCTGGTTTTTCTTTGAAGATGTTTCGCTTCTCATCCCTAGAAGCTTCTTCTGCTTCTTGGATGAGAAGCGAAACGTCTTCGAAGAAAAACAAAGGAAGTCCGGTTGCCTTTTCAAAAAACACCTTTGGGGCATATCCATGACCTGGATGACTTGAGAATTTCCATAGTCACCATAAGATGGAATGTCCACTATAAGGGAAATAGTGGGCGGGATTAATCGGCAGGAAGTGCCAAAGTCAAAAGTGGGTGGGGCTCCCAACTTCCTGTTCTCTCTCTCTCTCTCTCTCTCTCTCTCTCTCTCTCTGTCTCTGTCTCTCTCTCTGTCTCTCTCCATTCTTGCTGGAAATGCAGGACTTTGGGGGTTAGCAGATTTTTTGAAGCAAGGCAATAAAATAAACAAGTTTCTGCTTGCGATTCACAGGTTTCTTTCAACATTAAATATGGACTAACCCCGAGCTGGGAACTGTGATGCCTGTCTTTGCACCACACCCTCCAGACAACATAAAACAAGCCCATACCTTCATGCAGTCTCGTTTGGTGGCTTTCTTAATCAGGATTTTTTTAATCGCGTAGAATTGACCGTCAAGTTTATTTTTGACCTGAAAGGAGATCAATAAGGCAGAAGGATGTAAAGAAAATGTAGAACAAAATAAAAGTTATATGATAAAATTTAGAACGAAGGGCAAGAATCCTTTTTGGGAAAAAAAAAGAGAATTAAAAAAAATCAATACAAAACCTTGGGATTTCACAACATACAGTAAGAGCAGGACTGAAATGAAATGAAATGAAATGAAATAACACCTGCTGGATTCAGAATATGGGTTTTGGGTGGCAAATAGAGAAAAAGGCCACATGGGTATCGTGACGTTGTCAGGATTCCGGCAGTTACCCCCATTTAAATCATGAGTCTTGAGCCAAACTTCCAAAACTTCAAAAGGATTTATTGGGAGTTGACATGCCGGCACTGCCTGTGTGCAGCTGACTCTGAGACACATCATTCATTGTCACCCTTGACCCCAGTGGTGGTATTCAACTAAAGTTGCCACCGGTTCAGTGGGCATGGCTTGGTGGCTGTGCTTTGCACGCATGCATACACTTTGCGTGCACGCGTGCGCCAAACACGCACTTTGCGCAGGTGCAGAGGCGTTCTAACTTGCCTCCTGCAAGCCTGCACGATGCTGGTTGCTGCAGCAGCTGCCGCGCGGCGCTATTCTGCACCACACAAAGCAGCTGCGCTTTGAATTCTGGCCATAAAAGTGAGTATGGGAGCCTGGGCGGGCAGGCGGGCCAAACACAGAGCAGCGAAGAGAACCGGTTCGGTCTCCACTGCTTATTGCCACTACCGGCTCTCCAGAACCGGGCAGAACCGGTCGAATACCACCACTGCTTGACCCTGGTTCCCCCACCCCCCCGGGTGTATCATAATTCATATTCTCCAATGAGGCACATCCATAGCCAAGAATCATCAATCATATTCTACAGTTAGAATTTTGCGCGGCAGACACTTCAGTCATCTAGTTACTATCTTTGACAAACTATTTATGGAATGCACTTTCGATTTCCAAGCTGCTGCAACTGCTCTTTCAAACCCCTTTCCCCCCTCCCTTTCTGTTGGCAACTCTAAAAAGACCATAGAAATATTTTATGAGTTGACAGACATCATTGCCCAAACGGTACAAATTATGTAATTCAGCAACTCCAACCATCTGTTGTCTTAAGAGCATATTCTTAGGTCATATTCTATAACTCTGCTCAGAATAAAATCTTAAGATATATCAAAAGAAGGCCTGCCACAATTTCTACCCAACACCACCAATGAGCCTTATTCTCCATTCGATTCTAAGCAATGCTAATGTGGTTGATACAGTCAGTTATACATACCTTATATACTGTTCCATACCCTCCTTTCCCAAGCTTTGAAATCTCATCAAATTCGTTAACGTAACGGGATGTCTGTGCTTCAAAAAGGATTTCGTTCTCCCTGGTTTTTAAAAGAGTGTATTAATATGGAGAAGTTATAAAAATAATTTAAAAGGGAGAAACATTCCACTGTAGCACTTTCTTTCACAGATAAAGGAGCGAAGTATGGAAATAGAAATGAGACATCGATGTAGAAAAATATCCAGATTGGTGACAGCCTACCAAGGATCAAACTACTGATTTATGTCCTGAGTTAGGTGCACTTCAGCTTTTTACAATTCAGAAATGGAAAAATTCTCATTCAATTCTCAAATTCTCATTCAGAACAGAAACCAATCGTCTCTTCTTTAGACTTTTTTATGTTACATGATTTACGGTTCCAACGTGACGTTAATCTGAATTTTATTTCTGCAATGCAGGGACTCCAGAAGCAGATGCTAAAGCAATTGTAAAGTCAACATGTTAAATAAAATAGGTAGCTGGTTTAAACATTACTTCTGGAGCTTCGAATACGTACTTGTTTCTGTAGGAATCACCATGACCAACTTCCTATGTAACAGAGAAATGAAAAAAAAAATGTTGCGATCAGTCACAAATGCACAATCGAAAAACAAAGATTGGATTTGTGAAAATAAAACGAAAAGCCAAGACAGTAAAAATCAGCGGTCTTTAAGCACAAAGGTCTATCCGAGACAGAAGCAGTTTTGAGCTTCTTTTCCAATGTTATTCTTACTCTCCAAGTTCTTTTACAAAACCCCTAGCTAAGAAAACCGAACAATGAATTTAAAAAAAAAAATCAAAATACATTTTCCAGACACTTAAGAAATCAGATCCATGATTTGAAGGTATTGTTTGCAAAGCAAAGGTTTGTATTAATTGTGCTTTAATAGGAAGTTTGGGCATTTCTTGAAAAGGGAATAATAATGTTTAGGATGCTGAGCATAAGAAAAGGGGTAGCTTGGTATAGCGGTTAAAGCACCAGCCTAGAAATCAGACCATGAGTTCAAGTCCTGCTTTAGGCATGAAAGCTGTCTGGATGATTTTGGGCCCATCACCAGGAGACGGTGAGTTCTAGTCCCATCCTAGGCACGAAAGCCAGGTGGGTGACCTTGGGCCAGTCACTCTCTCTCAGCCCAATCCACCTCACAGTTGTGGGGAAATCAGGAAGAGGAAGGTGTGCTGGATATGTTTGCCACTTTTGAGTTATTTGTAAAAATAATAAAGACGGGGATATAAATAAATAACGTTGGCGCTGCTCCGAACCACGGTTGCCTTTTTAGATCTGAAAGCTGCAATCTCTAATTCAGGGTTTCTTAACCTTGGCAATTTGATTTCCTTGGCTGGCTGCTGGGGAATTCTGGGAGTTGAAGTCCCCGCATCTTCAAGCTGCCAAGGTTGAGAAACACTGTCCTGGTTTATATTCCACCATGCAGTTATAATATAGCCTATAGTTTGGCATGATACCCAAACAAACTGGAATACGTTAATGCTGGTTTTTAATGCCTTTGGGCCAGCAGAATAAGATGCCTCAGTGCTTCAGAATTTTTAGCAAGGGGCTCTCTGCCCTAATGACTGGCTGGGTAGGTGTAGCTGGGTGGTCATGTGGCTAGGTGGTCATGTGATCGGGTGGTCATGTGATCGGGTGGGTGCGGCTGGGTGGTTGTGTGACTGTGTGTGTGTGGCCAAATCGACGTTGCTTCTTTGTTCTAATTACATACACACACACACACACCAAAAAAGTTGTTTATTATTTCGTGCATTCAATACTTAAATAAGAGACTGGGTGAAACCAGGCTTAATAGCAGTGACTGTGAGAGAGATCTTGGAGTCTTAGTGGAGTTTCTGATGAGTTATGTGGTTCTTATTATTTGGGAATTAATCCTCTTGGACGCTAGTGGCTCTGTTATCTGGTTTTCTCAGTGGCTCTCCTTCAAAAGTGCCGAGTGGATTGTTTATCTAGCTTGCAACACTTTTACCAGGTGTGAAATGCTCTTGGCGGAACGCCCAGAAGTTCAATTAAGCCTATGAAGCGCTTTCCCTTGCTGCTTGTCTTTTTAAGGTTATCGGGGGCTCTCTGAGCCCTGCAGAATCTTAATTAGGAGCTCTCCTGAGCCCCCAGCAACCCACCCCTGCCTCGGTGGTTAAAAAAACAGAACAAAAATACTTCACCACAGCCACAGCAATGAACTGGCCAAGCATCCCCATTTTGCACAAGGATTAAAAGAAGATGACCTGTAACTCCAAATATTGTTCTAGCATGCTTTTAATGGGCTTGCCAGGAAACAGTGAGAGAGAGAGAGAGAGAGAGAGAGAGAAAGAATTACCTCATTGTGTATTTGCTTCTCGGCTGCTTTCATTAGTTCAGTAATGGCTCGATTATGCTGCAGTCGCAAACTGCTGAATTCTTCACAGATGGCAAAATCGGAAAGCAAGCCCATCTCAGTAAATGTTTTACAGAGTACTGTATTTGGGGGAGGAGGAAACAAGCCCATTTGAAAATAAACCGAACACTCTTCAATGCTTGCCTTCATTATGTTTTTATGGCCTCCCATCTACAGTACTTCAATTGCTTTCATTTCATTTAAATTATGTTTATAAGTCCCGGGGGGTGGATTTCAGAATAATAAAATGTTAAGGTATTAATACAACTATCAGTTATAATAAAATTAGCCTTGTCCAGCTCTCCAAATGTAAAATCCACTAAAATACAGCAGCTGCAAACCATGGGGAGATAAATAAAAAGCAACGAAGCAGGAGAAACAGGGGTGTTCAGCTTTCCTGTAAGTCTATAATGGTGAGGCCACTTGTATATAAACAGAGAGCAAACCCCATTCCCTTCTAGCACTGGTGATGTTACCTAGATAGGTAATGAAATGTCTCCAAGAAAACAAGCTTAGAGAACACCAGGGACCACATAGTCTTCCTTCACCTCCTTGCTCCCCCTCCTCCCCTTCTTCATTCTGCAAACCCAACTCCCTCCTAGCATTGATGATGTTACCTAGTTGGGTCATGAAATGTCTGCAAGAAAACAACCAAGGTCAAGAGCCCCAGGGGGCTCCACAGTTCAATCCTGAGCTACAATATTATCTTCTATTGAGGAAGGAAAAGGAAGGAAAAGGAAGGAAGGAAGGAAGGAAGGAAGGAAGGAAGGAAGGAAGGAAGGAAGGAAGGAAGGAAGGAAGGAAGGAAGGAAAGAAGGGTCAAAATCAGCCCCACCCACCAGATGTCCTGATGACATCACTGGACACACCCTCAATAGTGCTGTGGGCCAGACAAATGACAAAGCATGTCCGTAGGGCTAATAAAATATTTAAGTTCAGACAAAATGCATCTTGAACGTGTTAATTTTTTACCTATTGAACACGTCGGTTGGATTTAACAAAACCGAGCTCAAAGGAACACTGCTCTTTGGTGCTACTCTCTGGGAAGCTATCAACCCCAAACTATTCCATAAGGCCAACTCAAACCCTTCACTAACATTGAAACAATCGTCTCGAACACGTCCGATCTTGAGCGTAGACGTGGCAAAGATGCTCCAGCAGAGAAACCAGCAGGAGCTGATTGGCAAAGGAAGACTTGATGTTCATTAATTTCTGGGAACCATTTGCACCCCGAAATTCGGCAGGCCAGTCAGAATCTGGAAAAAAAAAGAACAAAAATGAAACTTGTTTTACATCTTCAGGGCCCTGAAAATAAGATTTAAAGGTGTTTCAAAGACATCGGTGTATTTGAAGTACAACGTGTAAATCGGAGGTGTCCGACCTTGGCATCTTTTAAGACTTGTGGACTTCAACTCCCAGAATTCCCCAGTTGGAATTCTGGGAGTTGAAGTCCACAGGTCTTAAAATTGCCCAGGTTTGACACCTCCTGTGTAAAGAGTGTAAAGAACCCAGATGCATTGAAAGGCAATTTTGCTTTTTTTCCCCTTCTTTCTATATTTTTTTTTCTGGAACAGATGGAAACGGGTGCAGAGTGAAGCAATCATCCATTATTTATCTCTGCCTCCTATTTATGCCCTGGAATATCCATGCTGCAATGCTGTTTTATAGCCCTGTGAAGCTGCAAGATCTGTGCTCGTAAAGAGATATGCTTGCTTTTCATGACAAATGGGATGTAATAAAGATGCCATCCACTTCTAAGGCTTTATAAAGGCCTGTATATAAGAAGCAATCATCCCCAGAATTATTATACCAACTATTTATTAGTCACATATATAGTTATACGGACAAAGCGCTGTTACTCATTTCTAAAAAGCTTTACGATTCTTTCCGCCTACTTGCTTTATATTTATGGCATGAGCTACGGTAGTTATTAAGATTTTTAAGGACAAAAACCCGAGAGAAAAATATAAATTAACACGTAGGATAATTTTGCCGGGTTTATCTCTGTGCAAACAACTAAACTGATTCCACCTCAGAGAGTTAACACCATAGCTTGAAATGCAGATGCATTTATGAAGATTCACCAATGTATACGCTGTAGGGTTGTAAAAAAAAATACTGACACACCTATGCTGAAGGCATGAGTGATTCCTCTTCAAACTGTGGAATTCCAACTCCTATTAATTCACCTCCGGCTAATTAGCCTTATGCTTATCTTAGGATAAATCAATTCTAAATGGGAAGTAGCTCAACGCTGATTTTCTTCATCCCTTTCACGTCAATTGATGTGCTAAAAAGTTTGTGTGATTTATACCTGACTGTAGAATTTATTTTGGAGGCCACTAACACTTGTGCAGCATGTGTGCAGCAGACTAATCGAACATATTTCAGAATTGCAAAAACTGTGGTTTGCCTCTGAAGCCAAAAAGAGGACGCCTGATGCAACGATACTGCAAATGGAGTCACAAGACCCATTCTGAGAAATGATGAAACAGCTCCTTATCTGCCTCAAGATAAAGACATGAGATCAATAAGGTAAAATTTCAGCCATTCCATACCCTTCAGCATTTGGAGTGTAATATTTCAAACTGTTGCACAAAGGCAACATTTTCAAACGCAGGCAAGCAAGGAAAACTAAAAAGTGGCAACAGAATTACACGGGAAGTAGCTATTTAACTGAAAATATACAATTCTAAAATGCCTCTTCCTTGTTTAGCAGGAAAATTTTTTCCCCCAGGCAGAACCAAAGGAAAATTAGGTTACATCTCATCCTGAATTTTAAATCTTTGCCCAGAAACCCAGAACCAAGAAAAATGCAAGATTTCTTATTTTCCTTGTGGGAGGTTTATTTTTTAAAAAAATACAGCTTCAAAATGCATCATTTTTCCAATGCAGAGTTGTCAACCTGCACAGTCCAAAAATATATTCTATAAAAGTTCATTTTATAGAGGAAATAAACACAAAAAAGTCACAATCAACCCTGGAATTATGATCATAAGTTACTTCAGTCCTTAAATGAGTCATCGTGTGACTGGACCTGATTTTACGATCTTTTGCAACTGTCGTTAAGCAAACACTTAAGCAGTCGTTAAACAAATCAATTTTACTCAATGGGTGGTTTTTTTTGTTTTTTGTTTTGCAACTGTAAGAAGATGCCAGAAACCAGCAAAAAAAACCACATTGAAAATCATGGCGTAAGTCGAGAACTACCTGTAGATGTAACAAATAAAGCATTAAGCTATCTTTTAAACTAGCATTTTAGTTTTTCTAGTTTTTCTAGATGCAGGTTCTCCCTTCCACCCTTTTCTGCTCAATCATGTCCAATTTGCAAAAATTGCCTGGACAGGTTCTGGCAAATACTTTACAGCAAAAAAGCATTCAGACAGAAATTGAACAATCGAGGGAGATTTTTTTTTTTACTTTGTTTCTTGAGTGGATCAGGTCACTCAGGTGAACTCTATTGCAAAAGTATTCCCTGCTGAGGGGGATGCTGCTAAGTTTGTTTTTGCAAATGTGGAGGTGGGTGGAGGAAACCAAATCCAAGCCTGGAATCAACCAGTTTTTCTTATTAGCGGCTGCAACTAGTAATTTGTTCTTTATTATGCCTCATTTGCCTTCATCTTCCTCTCC